GGGCGTGGACAGTGTTCACTAACGTTGGACCGGAAGCAGAGTGACAGGGTGGAAGTGGCCATGGTCACTTTCGTGATCAGCTTTTACTTTCAACTTAGAGCAACCCTGGAAGAAGGAATCTCAGGTAAAGCATTTCCGCAGTCAGGTTGGCTGTGACTGTGTCTGTCAGGATTGCCTGGACTGATGTTCCATGTGGGAGGGCCCAACCATGGCCAGCTCCAGGTGCTGCCCACTACATGGCAGAGCCTATCTGGACAGTAAAGCCAACAGAGAGCAAGTGAGAGAACCAGTGAGCAGTGTTCTTCCATGACTGCTGCTTCACTTCCTGCCTGAGCTCCTGCCCTGACTTCCCTCAATGATAGGCTGTGACCCAGAAGTGCAAGCCAAATAAACCCTTTCCTCCCCAGACTGCTTTTGCTCAGTGTTTATCACAGCCACAGAAAGCACACTAAAACAGTCCCCCAGGACCAGTGACTTATTTCCTCTAGCTATGCTCCATCTCCTAAGTTTCTAGAACCTCCCCAGATAGTGCCACCAACTATTTTTAACACCTGAGTTGGTGGCAGGGGTGGGGTATTTCATATCTATCCTGGTTTCATTTCATTGATAAAATGCCCTGGAAAAAACAGAATCATCTTACAAGAGAAAGAGTTTACTCAGCACCCAATTCCAGGTCACAGTCCATTACTTTGGAAAAGTCAAATCAGGAAGGGCTCATGGTTCATCACACTAGATCACATCCATAATCCGAACAAGAGAAATGACAGCATGCATGGTCACTCACTTGTGTTCAGCTCTATTTCTCCACTCTTACCTCAGGAGCCCTACCTTGGCAATGGTGCCACCCACAGTGGGTTGGTGGGTGGCACTACCACACCTCGTCACATCAATTAACTGAATTAAGACAATTCCCCCACAGACATGCCCACAGGCCAACCCAATGTAGACAATCCTAAAGACAGAATTGAGATTCTCTCCTTAGGGATTCTATGTTCCATCAAGTTGATCATTAAAGACAACCATCACAATATCCAAACCTGAGCATTGTTTAATTCAGTGGTTTTGAGTGGAAGATGCTTCTCTAACCTGACCCTTGAACTTATGCCCATTGTGATTAGCAATGATTTTAGAGGTTTGCGTTACTTTTGTCTTTATTTGAGTCCATACTACATGTAAGTGAGTCAGACATCTCCTTGGCAAGATGTCTCCAAGACAAGAGTGTTGCTATGCAAGACAGGGAGCTGTGCCTCCATGACTATCATGTGAGTGGTTCCTGCTTATAAGGTTCCCAATCACACCCATGTTCTCCAGCCAGTGCTCACGGTGTAGAGACAGGGCTAAACGGACTCTAAAACTCCATCAGGGCATTGTGGCCTCTTAGGTATCCATAGATGCAGAATTTATGAATTTTATGAATTCATGATTTGCAGAATGGAATGATATGGCCATGTCTAATACACATTTCTGTTTGCTTTCTCCCTATCCTTGAGTGGTTAAGGATAAAATAAGTGAATTTCAGCCTGGATTTCTGACCAGCAAAACAGCCAGACACAGAGCTGAAAGCAGATATGAGCAGGAGGAAGGAGCTTGGACTCAATCCAGGCAACCCTACACCTTCTCCCACTCCCAGCTGCAGAGCCGCAAACACGAAGGCCCGAAAGCCTCAGAAGCCCTTCACGTTCCTTCCCAGCTTGGAGCTTCCTTTCATTTTACTTTGGATTTAAACTGGTCAAAGGCATTCCAGCCTTCTCCTTAGAGATGTAATACAATATGAACTCATAAGAATTGTGGTTTGTTTGTTTTCTTGTAATCTGAAACAGCTTTTATCAAAAACCCAATTCACAAGGAGAGGTTAATCTTGTACAGGAAAAAGCAGGTCTTCGTGGGGATTTTTTCTGCTTAAGATGTCTAACTGGAAAGCTTTCTCTCTTTTTTTCTTCCTTTTTCAGCCCTCTATGAAAGAGTCTATCTACCCCAGTGCTGTCTCACACAGGGGACCAATTAGATAAGACAAATCACCCAAAGAATGTTTATCTGCATCCAAAAGGTTCTTCAGAACTCTTGATGTTGTCTTGGCATTTCTATTTTTTAGTGGGAATTTTTTTTAATGATGGAGTGGCCGACTTATTTTAATGCTTGACAGGGCCAGGAAGAACTAGCTGCCTTGGCTGATGTGTGTAGACATATGAGAAACATTAATATTTAATTTTTACTCTGTTTACTTTGAGAGACTGCCAGGGAGTGATTCAGATATTCAGCAGAAAGGGGCTTTTCTTTTATAATATAGTACAAAGGAAAGCTGAGTGCATGTTCTTTCTTCAAAGCGGGGGCTTGGGGGTGGGAATGGTATTTATTTGTACAGCTTACACGGGGACTACTTTGACTGTGTAAACACTCATATAATTTTATTAAGAGCTGCTACCAAATCTTTTCATCTGGCCTGTGCTCCAAGCCAAGAATGAGGAGTCTGAGTGTGCTAGTCCCACATTCCTTTAATTCAACAGTGCCTGGGTGTCCCTGGTTGAGGTTCAAAACCTGGGGACAGTGACATGCACAGCAATGAGTCTGGTTGGTAACTGTGATTCCAGCAAGAGTATAGGGCTCCAACCAGCATCCTCCCCTGCCTTACTCTTTAGGTTTCTGCTCCAGGAGGCTACTGCAGGGACTTGTGACTCTGTGACTAAGCTAAACTTCTCAGCCTAGGGTTAAAGGCAGTGCACAAAGCTCACCAGCCGCTGCTTGCTGGGTGCAACCTGATCTGGGGCTGGGGGCTCCTTTCTTCAGCTGTCTTTGGGTCCCCCAGAACCCCCTGGGGATCTATTCAGATAAAGGTCAGTTGAGGGACAGTTTTGGTTTTGAATACTAGAGAGAACTAGAAAACATAAACAATTCACCACTGTGGTGGCTGCAGTGTCCCACACCAACAGTGTCTGTCACAGTGTGTCTAGTGTGTTACCCACAGTCACAGCGGAGCTGTCAACACAAGCGATTATTGAAACAGACCTGGCAGGTGATGGTAAGGCTTTTCTAATAAAGTCAGAGGGTTAGCCCTGGTGTAGGGACTGTAAGAACTGCTTTTGTCTGTAGGTCACTTGTTCTTTGTGATTTGATGTATTGGTTGTGATTGGGAATGGATTGCCTGCCTTTGATCTTCCTCATCAAATTCCTTAATCTATATTCAGAGGATCTTTCAGCATTTAATAACAGTCCTTGTTCTATAGCCCAGGGTGCCCAAACATTCTTTAGTCCAGCCTGGCCTTGAACTCAGGACCCTTCCACCTCCTAGGATCAAGGGCACACACCACTACACCCAGCTTTGATATGGGGGCAGTGCATCTCCACTTTCATCCATTCCTAGCTGAAATGTGGGCTTATAAATTCAAAACCATTGTGAAGCTAGTAGAACCTGGGGTTTGTCTTCTCTTGTCATGCCTAGTTTTTGTGGCATCTCAGAACATGGCTTGCAACCTTGTTGCTGTGGAATTAAGCCATGGCTCACATTGTTAAATGCAGCAATATAGGTGAATGTCAATTACCAATCACAATTTTTAAAGTAGCTTTTTTAAAATAAAATTTGTTTCCTTTAAAATCATATAATTTAGATTAGATATATTATTTGAGAAAAAATTCACAGTTTCTGTAGTGTATCAGAAGAAGGTCTAGGCCATACACAAAAAGTTAAGAGATTCTGTTGTAGAAGTTAAACAGAATTAAAGATGGTCATTCTTTTTTACTTCATTAAGAATTATTTTAAGTGTGTGTGTGTGTGTGTGTGTGTGTGTGTGTGTGTGTGTGTACACTTGATAATGTCACCTGCAGAGACCAGAAGAGGGCATCAGATCCTGCAGAGCAGGAATTACACCGTTGTAAGCTGCCCAACATGGGTGCTAAAAACAGAACTCAAGCCCTCTGCAAAAGCAGTACTAGTTACTGTCTCCCCAGCTCACTGGTCATTCTTTCAATTTTTTATTGTAGAAGAATCAAAATAACTGTATGAGTCTATAATCTACCTGAACAATTTGTATTTTATGTATAATTGCCATGAAGTGTAATTACAACAATGCATAGCGTTTACTGGTTGTCAAATTGATTTTCATTCATTAGATTCTGTTTCAATACCAAGCTCGCTCTGTTCATTTAAGCATGTCTTCATTCTTTCATAGTTTGTATATTAATAAGTTGTGACTGGTGAGTAGACTGTGTCATGTAAGACAGCTCAAGACCCTGGTTTTAAGGTTAATCTGTTTTCATTAATGTTGCTACACTGCCTCTTATAAACAGCAAAAGATGATACTGTTTTCTACAGCATGCCCTTACAATACAGTGTGTTCACCACAAACACTCAGCTTGAAGTAGAAATCTGAGAGTGAAACTATAAAATGTGACATAACACACACACACACACACACACACACACACACACACACACACACACACACACACACACATATATATCTGTAAAGAGACAGAGAGGGAAGGAGAGTGAATATGGCTGAGCAATATGAACAGACAGGATCTAGTCTGTGAATCATTAATTCATATGTTAGAAGAAATAATATGACTGTCTAAATATGGTATTCTTTGAGTTACTTAGAAGGCTAAGGAGACAAAAGCCCACAGTGCTCAGAGCTGTGCAGCACCCTGTGGGAAGAAGGCACCCTATTGAGAGTAGCAACAGGCACAGTGTAGCAGACTTTCTTGGACTGACAGACCCCAAATCATGACACAGACTTATCAATTATGAATGCTCAACCTTAGCTTAGACTTGTTTCTAGCTAGTTTTTATTAACTCATTTCTATTAATCTGTCTGCTTCCCAAGGCTCATTTACCTCATCTACTTTCTGTCTATCCTGACTTCTAGCTTCCACCATGTCTGTCTGTGTGGCCATTGCCTGGCTCCCCTTTATTCTCTGCCCACCATTCCTGCCTATCCTTTCTCAGCTTAGCTATTGGCTGAGAGCTTTTAATTAGACCAATGAAGTCCCTTAGGCAGGCAAGGTAAAACAACAGCACATCTTTATATAACTAAACAAATACAGCATAAACAAATGCAACATATCTTTACATAGTTAAACAAATACAGTATCAAAAATTGCAATGTCTTTACGTAGTTAAACAATTATTCTGCAACGCAAACAAATGGGACAATTCCTTATATAGTTAAACAAATATTCTATTCCATAACATTTCCTCCTTTTTGTCTAGATAAAATGAAAGGTTTTAAATTTTACATAGTGAAACTATATATAATAATAACAGTTATCAAGTAATAATTACATTTACAATATCTAGTTCATTTGTATTTGGCAAATTCATAGAAAATACTTCATTATTTATCTTAACTTTTTGAGTCCAAAATTTTGTACTCATAACTATGACTACTAGTCATAACTTCTGTCATAACTATAACTAAGAAAAACTGTAACTTATGACTATCTAGTCTTCAACTCAACAAAAATGCCCAAAATGATATAATAATACCTGAGTGAACAAGAAGTGCAGTGCAAACCACTTCCAAAACTATAGAAATGACAGAGACATCTGGCTTCCTGGACAGTTACCTGAGGTTCTTCTACAATGTTGGGATATCCGTCTTCAGTCAACATACCTAGAATATCTGCCAGACTTTTATATGAAGCAGGAATTTTGAAGGAATGTCCTGTCTTGTCTTTGAAAAGTTCAACAGTAATTTTTCTTTGTGTTTTACATATCCAGTTTTGACAGTATACTGTCAGCAGTTGAGGCAAGGACAGTCTCTTGCCCAAATGGGTAGCTTTGTCACATTGAAAGCAAAGTCCATATGGAGGTTCTTCAATGCCCATCATCCTTTTATGAAGTAGATTGATGCTGCCAGAAGCAAACATGTCTCACTGTTATGAAAAGCCTTACATTATTAAATATCTTAAATGCCACATTCTGTAGGTCTTTGAGGTGTTTGAAGATCGCCTATCTAAAATATACCTGCTTAACCTTGAAATCTTACCTTATATGACTACAAGTTTGATTTATAAATGACTAACCACTAACCTACATTTTTAATTTGATACTGCATTTTTAAATGAGCTGCATAACCACAAACAAGAGTAGAAACATACATACATACAGTAAAACAAAAATAACTTTAAATTTGTATCAATATACCAAAATCCATACCAATGAAAAATATTTGAGATTAACAGTTGTCTTTTTATCCTATATTCCTATATCCCCCCTTAAATGATGACAAACACTTGTAACTCACCAAACAATAAAAAATAACCCACCTTGGGAATGTGAACATTGTGTTCTCTAGACTGCTTCCTGTTGTCTGGGTGCAATGACATTTCCAGAGGACCCTGAGAAAATTGAGATAATGGGCAAGTCCTGAGAAACTAGTTGTAACATTTGTTGTCCAGTCTCAGAACTGTTCCCATGCAGAGGGCTCAATATATATGCACCGGTCTTGTAATTTTTCTTGGTTTATTTCTTTATGTCTGTAGCCAAGAATTTCAGAAGGTCCGCTGATCAAACCTGATCTCTAGTAACCTTAAAGGAACCCATAGGACCGGGCATTGGTGGTGCACGCCTTTAATCCCAGCACTCGGGAGACAGAGGCAGGCAGATCTCTGTGAGTTCGAGGCCAGCCTGGTCTCCAGAGCGAGTGCCAGGATAGGCTCCAAAGCCACACAGAGAAACCCTGTCTCAACAAACCAAAAAGAAAGAAAAAAAAAAAAGAACCCATAGGCTTTCATTTCCTGAGGAAACAAAAGCATAGCCTCTTCTCGGATGCAGTACATTTTCTGAATTCCATTTTAAAGACATCCCTGAAGTATATAAGCTGGTTTAATTCAGTGGTCCCCTTTATAACAACTTAGTGTCTCTCAGCAGCTGTCTTCCACTCATCAGCATTCAAAATCTTCAAAGTCAACACAACACCATATAGTATTCAGACTCCCTTTTTCCCCATTTATGTGGTTTTTCCCTTTATTTTACTTTGTCTTTAAAGACTATCATTTTTAAACTGTTTTTTCCTATGACTATCTATACCCATTTTCTTTTCTTTCTTAAGCACCTACACACATTTTTAAACATTCTGTAACCTGTTTAGAGGTTTGTTTGTTTGTTTTTCAGTCTGGACCTGCTTTACTGTGCACCTGAGCCAAACCTTGAACGTGAAGCTCGGCTTTGTGCTGGTGGTTAGCTCTGCCCCACTTAGGTTGGTGGCAACTGAGCTTGATGTCCTGTAGGCCTGGCAGAGAGCTGCATTTATCTGGGAGCTGTATTTAAACACCCCAGCTCTAGGAAGCTGGTGCCTACTCTGTGGCAGAAGTTTTTACTTTACTTGTTATTTCTACTTAACATGTTGACTGCTCAAGTGCTCAGTGTATGGCAGAGCCACGTCTCTGTACAATATGGACACCGGGCTACTAGGAAGCCCCATTGGGTTTCTTTTTCCAGATTTCTTGGGCCATCCATGTAAATATGTGCCCCATGTTGGGTAACAAATGTAGAAGATTTCCAAGGATGTCAGCAAAGAGAGAAAGTTAGCCAGTTGCTGCTGTAACTCTCTGGGCTCACAGCTTTTCACCCAACCTTTGAATCTCAAGTTTTATTAGAATGATAGAGATTTGGTTAAAGCTAACTTTAGAGGCAACAACATAGGCACTGTCTGGGGGAACATAATTTCCTCCTGGCTACGGCCTAAGCAGGTAGGCTATTAGTAGTGCAGCCACTGTGATGAAGGTGAAACAGCAGCACAGTTCCCTGTAAGTGTCATAAAGGTTTGGTAAAGGATGAGCCATGGTGATTCTGTGAGGACATCAGCACCAAATACATCCTCATTGTCTTGGTTCCTTCCAGCTCTGTGATTTATAAAGAACAGAAGTTTATTACAGTTCTGTAGGCTGAGAGGTTCAATGCCTAATATAAGCTGCCCTCTGCATCCAAGATGGGACACTGTTGTTGAGTCCTGTCATGGTAGAAGGACTAAAATATATTCTTACTAGAAGGAACATCCCCTCAGTCCTGTTATAAGCATACTAACAGCCTCTTGGAGAGGAGCTTTCCAACATCCTAACCTCTGAGCTGTAACTGTGCTGAGATACCAGCCACAGTTACACCAAAGTCAGACCACAGGAAGCATCAGAGGGGAATAGGAACTGAAACACTCCCTCATTGTCAGGGCTGGAGTGGTACTGCAGTTTTGGAAAACAGTGTGACCATTCCCAAAGGATGAAGGATAAAATAATCATGGGAACTAACTATTCCATTCCTAAGATATATGTATGGAAATTGTAACACAGTTGCCTGTAAACTTGAAGTAGAAATGTTTGTAGCTTTATTCACCATAGCTAAAAGAGTAGAAATGTAATTTAGGTCCAATGGTCAAAAGTGATAAATAAATTAACATGATTTATGCAAACAAAGAACTATTACTTGGGTATAACAAAGTAAGATTCTAATATATAGCAAAAAGTATATAGAAAGCAGATAAAATTAAATACATAGCCCTAAGTGATAGGGTCCAGTCACAGAAGGCCACGTGTGTAAGAACATTTAGATGGGTTGTCCAGAGTAGGATATTATGACAGAAAGCTAGCTTAGCAGTCTGGGGAAAGAGGAGAATGGGAAGTGGCTGTGAGTGAGCATCGTGTTCCTTTAGGTATGATGAAAATATTCTATGATAATGATTGATGGTGTACAGTTTTGTAACTACTTAAAAATGACTGAATTGTACACTCTAAAAGGGTGAGACTTAGCTTGTGAATTATATCTCAAGAAAAAAAGTCCTGGGTATCATGGTGCACACTTTCAATCCCAGTACTTGGGAGGCAAAGGTAAGTGGCTATCTGTAAGCTCCAGGCTAACCTGGTCCACACAGAGAGACTTCATATCAAAAATTTAAAAAACAACACATCTTTCTTCATCTATTTAGATTATCATGTGATTTTCTGCCTTTAATGCCATTTATATGATGTATTGTATTTATTGGCTTGTATATGTGGAACCATCCCTGCACTCCAGGGATCAAGAAACTTGGTCATGAAGAATGTTATTTTTGGCATATATCTGTATTCCATTTGCAAGTATTATATTGAGCATCATTTAATCTATATTCATCAGAGGCACTGGCCTGTGATTTTCTTTTTTTCTTTTCTTTTTTTTTTGTTGTTATTGTGATGTTACCTGGTTTTGGTATTAATTAGAATGATTTTGGCTTCAAGGAAGGAGCTTTAGAGTTTAAGAGTGTTCCTTCTGTTCCTTTCTCTTTTCCTTCCTTCCTTCCTTCCTTCCTTCCTTCCTTCCTTCCTTCCTTCCTTTTTTCCTTTTTATTTTTTGAATGGTTTAACAAGAATTTTGAAAGTCTGGTAGAATTCTGTTGTGACGATACAGACTCCCTGATTGTGGATGTCAGTTAAGAGGCCTGGTAAATCTATGGGGCCTCTGGTAGTGTATCAGTATTTATCCCTAGTACACGAATGGACTTTGGGGCCCATTCCACATAGAGGGTGCTCTCTCAGCCTAGATTCAAGGGGGAGGGCCTAGGTCTTGCTCCAAATGATGTGACAGACTTTGAAAAATCCTCCATGGAAAGCCTCACCCTCCCTGGTAGCAGAAAGGGGATGGGATCGGGATTGGTGGGGGGAGGCAGGGGAGGAGGGGAGGAAGAAAGAACTGGGACTGACATTTAAACAAGCTTGTTTCAAAGTTAAGTTTAAAAAAAGGAAAAAATAAAATAAATCTTTGCTTTTTGTAAGTTAAAAAAAAAAAGAATTCTGCTGTGAATCCAGTCAGGAAGGAATTTTATTACTATTTCCCCTCATTTGATATGTTTAGGTTGTTGACTTCTTGTTTTAATTTGGGGGATTTGACAGAGTTTACAACTTCATCCATATCTTTTGCAGTTATTAACATATTATCTTATATTCTGGATTTCTTTGGTACCTTTTGCAATGGTTTCCTGATTCTGTTAATTCAGGTTCTTCATTTCTTTCTTTCGGTTAATTGGACCAAGGGTTTGACAATCTTGTCTATCTTCTCAAAGAGCCAACTCTTGGAAATATGTGAATGTGACAACAATTAATGAAAAACAGAGGCCATGAAATTGAAAAAGAGCAAGGATGAGTATATGAGAGGGTTTGGAGAGAGGAAAAGGAAGAAAAAAATGATGTAATTATATTATAATCTGTAATTATATTATAATCTCAAAAAAATAAAAGAAAGTTTTAAAAACAAAAAAAGAAAGTAAAAGAAGTCTTCACCAAAGCTGAACTCAACAAAATGAGAAAATAGAGATTACACAGGAGTTTGTGAAAATAGCTCTTTAATGAACTTTGTAGTAGCAGCATTAGTTTTTCTATATATGTGAGAATGGAGGAAGGGAGAAAAGAGACGGGAAGAAAAAGAGTGAGAAAATAAAGAGAATAGAGAGAAGGAGAACAGAGACAGCAAGAGCACTGCAAACACACTATTCTGGTATTTTCCTATATGTTCTAGTTTTCTATGGGGCTGGACCAGAAGACAATCTTGGAGAAATGCCAGAAGCTTTCCTCAGAATGGCTCTGACTCTGTAACAATCAAGGCCTATATTCACTGTTTCTTAGAATTGCTTCCTGAAGACCACCTGATCTTCTCTGCAAGCCAGGTGTCCCTGGGAGTGTAGAGCAAGGTCATCTTCTCACCCTTTCCCCTGTGAAGGCACTGGGTGAGATGGATACTGAGGCTTCCTTCTTGGTGGAACGTAGCTATGATAAGAACTCTCTGTAATCCTTGGCAAAACTGGAGAGAACTGCTTTTGAGATCTGTGGCATATGAGGCATCCTTACAGCAAACACATTCTCAGGGTGTTACTGGAAACATCAGTCAGCCTGACACTCAGTCTTAGCCCAGGTTGTCTGAAAACTTGTAGCGATCCTCCTACCTCAGCCTCCCAAATGCTAACATTTTATGAGGAGCTTGGTTCATTTCTTTCTATTTAATTAATTATTTTATGTATTCCTTTGAGACAGGGTCTCAACTATAGTTCTTGCCTGGAACTCATTACAGAGACCTGACTAGCTCCTAACTCACAGAAATCAGTCTCTGCCTCAGCCTCCAGATGCATGGATTAAAGGTGTTCACCACCACGCCCAGCCTTTTGATGTGTTGTTTCTCAATTGCAAACTACAGAATGCAGGTTTAGTAATCAAGTGTGACTATGAATAGCTCCTGGGTTTGAGAGAGAACACTGCAGAACAGGGAGTCCTGGTGTTACTTGCTGCAAGAACACAAAGTTGTCTTAAAGGTCCAGACATATAGGAACCCTGTCAGACGCTGCCAGGTCAATCTTGACTTCTGTAATATGAGTACATGCACA